AAGCACACCTGATATAAGAGAAGCAAAACTCAGAGGGGAAGAGAAGATGGAGGATATGATCATATCTTGGGGTGAACTTGGTCACTAGTTGAAGATTGCTTTATATGTATTTCTTTATATTTCAATTTCACTCTAAATGTTAGTTATCCAGAGACAGAAGAGAAAGAGAGAGAGCCATTAATTCAGTGGACTGTTGAATTTGAGGCCTAGGAAATCACAATATTACAGTCATTATGGTCAATCATGTTTACTCAGGAATATTTCAAAAGATTCATCTGGCAATTTTAAATAAAATTCATTGTTTAAAAATACGAGTTCTTGTTAAAATCTTACAGAGGCTCATTGATGTATTGCTTATCCTGTTACTGGTGACTACCATGCCAGGTTGAGAGGTAACTTTTCATCTTATACATTCAAAAGAACAAACATACATGTCAGCCCCACTACCTGGTGTTCCCTCAAACTCATAAAGTACATACATGGCTGTCTGCAACACCTATGATTTTACTACTGCTTCTGACAAAGTTTTCATCTTTGAGTTTTTAAGGAGACTACTTCTCCAAGTATTCTCATTGAAAACCATATTTGGTGATGGCTTTAAGTACTTTTGAAAATCTATTGAAAGTTATAGGCTTCCCACATAACATTTGGGAAAACATCTTCTACTGGTGTTCGATTAATCTATGTAACAACTGTTGTCCTTTTACATTGAAATAATGGAAGATGGTTTGCGCTCCAACAGTTCAATTGGCATGATAAGCGGGGGAATAATTTAAGTTTCAGGGGGACTCCTAAGACTCTTCCAAAGCAATGTGAATCTCACAGTTGTTAGTATTGATATCATTCCCTACTGTCAAAGGTCTCAAAAAGTATATCATCCTTAGCAAATGCTATGCTAGAAAGGCCTGAGCATGTGTGCACTTTGGCTCCACTCTTTCCCAAAGAGAAGGAATGCTTTTCTTGCTCCTCACTCGCAGAAACAAAATTCCTTGCAGGCTAAATACTTGCCTGCTCAGAAGGCCAGCTGGGATTAGGCAGGGAAGGAGTCTTCCTGGGAAGTGCACACAGTGTGTCAAAGGGTGCCTCCCCCCATTAAATGGCTTTAGTGTCTGACAGGTGTTTCTCCCAAATCAGCAGCTCATTGTTTCTGCTTCTAAGTGAAAAACATCAATCATGTTTTTCCCTTTAAAAAACTCCTTATTTGGAGTGATGAGGTTAGATAACATCATGCTGTACCTGGAAGTCCCTTCTCTCTCTCTCTCTCTCTCTCTCTCTCTCTCTCTCTCTCTCTCTCTCTCTCTCTCTCTCTCCTACAGACATCCCTCTGGGATCTTAACCAGCTTGTGAAGAAGCTGTCACCTTCTGCTTCATAGATAACCTGTCATCTCATGGGACAATGTCCTCTTCATCTCTAAGAATAGTTTTGCCAAACTCTTTTATCACCAAGACTGTGCTGGTCAGTTGCTTTGGCAATAGGATTGGAGGTAGAAACCAAGACCTAGGCAGACATAGAAAAAAATGGTATGCTCTTGTTACCAGTGGTCAATCTTTAAGTGACTTCTTTTCAGAGAGATGTCATTTTTCTCCTGTGACAGAACTTTGCGAATGTGAGACCTGGCTTCTTAAACCTATGGGAGAAATTCGCTGAGAACCAAATTTCACTTCTTGTCCTTTCTTCCCTCTCTCTTTTAGGTCATAAAAGGAACCATGTTGACTTCCCTAGCCTTCTCTTCCAAAACAACACTGCCATTAGTCTATATGTATGTTTTCTGGTCACACCTGCAAGGCACCTTGTCAGAGCAGAACAGAGTGAGTGCTCTTACTCATTATGGTTGCACTTCTGGTTATTTAGTTGGAAATAAACCCCAAGGAAAGAGCTGCAAGTACATTCATAAAACCAGTGTTCTATGTCATTGCATAAAACTACTGAGTGCAGTGTATTTTTATAGTACCTTCTGAGGCTGAATAAATGTCTCAATTCTCCATTTAGCATTGTTGAAATACCCTAAGTGATTTCAAAGTAGTCTGTGCACTACCTTAGCCCACACATTGCTAGAAAAATAAAAATAATCAGTGGAGTTTGTTGATATTCTATTAATGACTGTCATCTTGACCATTTATATGACCAAATAAAATGCATACCACTTAAAATACTGGAAACCTCTGAAGTAGAAATTTCAGCCTAGCTGTTTGGACATATCAACCAGCTATTTGGTCTTCAAACAAAAGAGCAACTCAGATCCATAAAATGTGAGGGAGTTTTAAAAATTAGATTTAAAAAACAGGAAGGGAAGTTCACTTAGAGGATGAAAAAAATGAGATGAAACATCTGTTGATAAGATTCCTAAAGAAAGAGAGAGAGAGAGAGAGAGAGAGAGAGAGAGAGAGAGAGAGAGAGAGAGAACTTGGGCTGAAGGGTAAGGAAGTGGTAAAGAACTGAGGGAGGTTGCCCCCCTTTTGCCTGATGTACTGAATTCTAGCTTCCCTCCAGTTTTAGATTTGAAAGCCAAGCTCATTAACTCCCACTTTAAAAGCCAGAGACATTATTTCTTCCTCACCAGGTAGAAGCAAGAACTCAGTACTTGGGCAGAAATATAGAGAGAGACATGAGACATATACTGGAGGAGAAAAAAGCCTGACACAAGAAAAAAAACCCTCTGTTTAGAGTTAGTTTTCTAGAAGCCTACCTTCTGGAGTGGAAATGGGTGTTTGGGGTATTTATAGGATGTACAAAGATTGTTAAAAATGTATGGGCAGATGATGTTGTCTGGGAAAAACCAAACTTGGTGTTTTCTAAACAATAAGCAAAGCAGACACAAAGCACTGTTCTGTTCTACTCATTAATGGAACTGAGCTCCCCTGAGCAGGCCTCCTCTTAATGTTTGTGTTATCTGAACTAGGCCTTGGTGTCTACACCACCACAGCTGAGAATGGATTGCCCTGTATTCTGGTTGTGAGCCTAGCCTCGTCTCTCCAGCCCTAGAACTGACTTTCTGTCCTTTCTACTGCTGACATCTGGGCCTTCATGGTCTTCCGTGACTTTCCTTCTCTTAACTCACTTGAATATCTTTCCTATATTCTTTTTTTTTTTCAGGGGCTTACTTTCTAAATTTGAGACAACTCTCTCAACATTCTAATGCTCCAGTCCTTTCTCTGAAATATCAATATGGGGATGGTGTGGGGGCCAGGGGAGGATGAGGGGCAAGGAGGAGGAGAGGAAGAGGAGAGAAGGAGGGAAGAAGGAGGAAGGGAAGAATGCAGGGGTTCAGAATGAGGAGAAATCAATGGAGTCATAGGAAAACTGAGGGATAAAGACAGCTGCAGACTCTCACATGGAGATACTGGGAGACTGCCATTTAGTTTAAACTGAACAAACTTACAGAGGAGAAAGGACACTTTAGGTTGAAAAAGAACTGCTGTTCAAGAACTCTCTTTGAAATGTCAGTAGTCAACCTGGAAGTTAAGTGAGAATTTTGACCTTTCTCTTCATCTATGATGGTTGTAACCCTTAACTTGCTCCAGCCCCAGTTTACTTCTAGGCAGGGATTCTGTCTCATCAAGATTGGCAACTTTCTGGGGCAGGTGAAAAGAGAAGGCTCCGGAGGAGTGAACTTCCAGGAAATTCCCTACATTCATGCAGCGCCTGGCCTGCCGGTTCTTCCCTGGGGCAGGTGCCTGCTGGTGTTGATGGTGTCCTGGTGGTCCTCTAGAGTTCCAGACAGAGGCCTCAGAGGTACATGAGAATCATACTGTCAGCTGCTCTTTGCCAACCCTTCATACGCTCACCCTGAGAGGCAGGCACAGAGATTGTCTCCTTAAATCCTGACCCTGCCTCTTGCCCTTTAGCGAGCAAACTCTGCAACTGAATTTATACTAAACCTGACCTTATTGCCCAGCTGAATGCAGTGAGAATTGGTGGCCGGAATTGAGGGATCGCCTGTACCACTCAAAGGCCTTTCTTCCCTTAAGAATAGAAAGCCTACCAGAGAAAAAACAGCCCAACAGCCCGAAAGCCCCCAGCGTCATTGTGTAGTGGCCCCTGCAGAATGAGTAAACTCTCTGGCTGTCAAAGACCTCAAGTCATTAGCATCAGCTGCTTCTCTAAAGGCCTAGCCAGCTCCTCTAAGTGGCTTAGCGCACAAACGAGGCTCCCGAGACAGCCTCACTCATGTGACTCCATCACTCCTCCATCAGCGGCTGGATGTGAAAAGCTCTCGAGAGCCGGGTCTCAGTAATAATTTTTATTTTACTTTGAGCCATCCCCCCCGAGGTCTTAGAATCCCGGCCGCAGTTCCCATTATGAGGCCCCTTGGGGACCACACAGTACACTATACAGAGGGTGAACAGCTTTAACACCTGAGTCCAGGGACTCAAACTCTCGCAGCCCATACCCACTCGGGGACCCTTGTCCTGAGACCTGAAAACAACCGAAGTCCTTTTAGGAGGTCTGGCAGCATTCCAGATTTATCTTCTTACCCCAAGTCTTGGGGCGGGAGAGGGCTAAGCCAAGTTCTTACCAAAGTGCACCCCTTGGTCTCCCGAATCTCCACGGGGACTCCCTGGAAGGAAGGGAGACTGCTTTATAAGACAACCTGGTTACTTGTCACCTCCTAGGCCACTAGCCTCACAGATTAGCTGCAGATAGCCAGAGAATCCCTCTGGGAAAATCCTCACCCTTTCTTTGGACCACAGCACTCAAAACCCAGGGGACATGTGCCAGAAGTCAATGCACTGGCAACATAGCCAGCTCCTTGTCCTAGGTCCTCCTGGCAAACCAGAAAAGAACTGCTCTCCTTCTGATACCTTCTTTCCAGAGCATGAAACCGATTTCTCCTTCGGGGAGTCCCAGAGGACCCCAGCCTCAGGAGGAGGAGAGGTTGGCTGCTCTTGGGGAGACTTTACCACTTGGGGAAGGAGCTCAGGATCTGCCTGGTGCTGGCAGGCCGGAGAAACCAGGCTTGCAGCGCCGGAGGGAGCTCCCAGACCAGCAAGAGTTAAAGGGAGGGGACGTGGGCTGTCACGCGTCATTGGGCAGATTATGTGCAGCAAACAAAAAGTGTGTGTCTGCGTGCCAGTCAGTCACTGCATCGGGTCCATCTGTACAACTCGCCTCTCTCTCTCTCTCTCTCTCTCTCTCTCTCTCTCTCTCTCTCTCTCTCTCTCTCTCTCTCTCTCTCTCTCTCTCTCTCTCTCTCTCTCTCTCATCTTCCTATCTGCAGCATCTCTCTTCATTCCTCTCTCTTTGGACAGAACCTACTAGAATGACACCGGCACCTCTTGACATGGAGATACACTAATGTAATAGGCAGAAAGGAACACTGGGTTTCGCCCTCTCGGTTCCAGGTGGCCTTATTTGGGCGACTCGGTCCAGACCTTATTTCTGGTAAGTCTATTTGTATTGACGTGGAAGGGGGGATGGGGAAAAGGCAGGTTGAGTGAAAAGAGTGGAAAAAAATCGCCTCCTTTCTCCTCCTTTTCTAGAAGATAGGAGGGAAACGACTGCCGAATGTTATTTCCACTGCCACTAAGATTATACAAAGGGAGGAGCGGGTGGGAGCACTTTGCTGGAGAAGCTCGGGACTGGGGAGCTCGCGGCAGCCAGACAATGCCAGCCCGAACTAGAGGGAGAGCATCCGGCAGCAGCAAAGGCAGCGACCAGCTTTCAGCGAGCCCACCCGGCTCTAGGTTTCCTCAGAGGATCTGCGGAGGAAGAGAACCCGGGGCCTAGAGATGGGTGTCAGGCTGTGAAAGGTTAGCTAGGTTCTGCCTATTGCTTAGTGTGGATGGTTTGCGTCGTGGCGGCCACCGTGGCAACACAGACCGCTATTAGCTCAGGCGTGGGACCTTTTCGCTGTATTGTTAGATAGAACTGCATTTTAATGACTGCGTCCCTTCTGTTGCTGAAGTGGTGGGCGATCTCCTGTCACAATAAAACGCTTCTGTGAAGGATACTTTCAAAAGCGAGGCAGAAATCTAGGTACAAAACGTTAAAATGCAAGTAACTGGGGGATAGAGAGCGGGATTCTGCTGACAGGAAGCCAAGAGAACCTGTATTCTGCAATGTATTTGATCTGCAACTGGAAACCAGAAAGGGACGGCATATCCAAGACAGAGTGTAGTATGCTAAACTTTCTATTTTGTGGCTGCTTTCCTTATTCCCGCTGTCTGGAAAGTATACTTGCCATTGGGGCATGCTGGAGAATGAATAGAACAGAGACTAACCGAAGTTTCAGGCATTACCTTTTAATCACATTTGTAAGACTAATTGGTTAGTAGATGCTGATAAAAAATACACATCGCCGATATTGTTCTGTAACAAGCTGCAAGCTATAAAAGAAAAGAATAAGATTGATGCTCCCCCTGCCACTTAAATTATATAAATGCAGAGAAATCACTGTCAATGGTGAAATTACTAGAGAAAAATCTGTAGAGAATTCATTAGATCACTCAGAAAAATGATATGGCTGGCTAACATCTAGTTTAAATATGTTAAATCACTGCTGTCTTTAAGTCCTAAGTTTTGTAGGGGGTGTCCAATGGCTGAGGAAGGAAAACGTCCCTGTATGACAGCTTAATAGGGAGCCCTCCACTGGGGCATTACTTTCTAAATTGCTGCGGATTAAACAGCTGGAGGGCCCACTGAGGACCATTCAAGCAGGGCTTCCCCCTTTTGCCCAAACTGGGTGGTATCCGGGGATGTATCTCAGGCAGGGGACACTTCAGGCCTGCCCTCTACCTGCTCGCTTCATGGGCCACAAGCAACTCAATCCACCCCCTTGTATAACAAGGTAACTGGGATTCAACCTCATCCATAAATAAGCATGTCGAGAAAAAAATAATTACCTCTGCTTGCTGCTTTTAATTAAAGCCTCGGAGGGACGGTGTTGGATTATGGTAATGAGTAGACATGCGTCCCTTCTTGTAGGCTGCAGAGAAAGGTTAGCTGACACAGAATTAGTGGCCCTGACACTCCACTTGAAATCCATTCGCTATGCTCCGCTGTCCCCGCCTGCTAGCTAAGGCTGCTCTCCTCATTAAAAGAAAAGAAGAAATTAGATCGAGGTACCAGGGTCCAGTACGTAGGAAGACAGGACTTTCCCCCAAGGGTTAGAAGTTTGGGGTTTTTGCATTCAGTCAGGAAAAAAAATTATATACCCCGGTTTTAAAAAAATACTCCACCTTCATCTAATGTTCACAAGCTCTTTATTTTCTGTTTCCCGAGCAGGAAACATGCTCTCGAGCTTCCCATTCCAGATATTTAAAAGGAGAGAATATACTTCGAAGTTGGCATCTTTAAACCCTGCCAGATTGGTCTGCTTTATTTTTAAAATAGGAGCTATGTAAAAAACGCCAGCAAGTGCAAAGAAAATATGTCTAGTAGCAGTGGAAATGCTCTGCCGAGGTTCATAGCAGAAAAGGCAATGACAACTCGCTTCTTGTCCTGTGTATCTGCCTTTAGCGATGGAGGAGTCAGGCATCCAGAGAGGCATCTGGGATGGAGACGCCAAGGCTGTCCAACAATGTCTGACAGACATTTTTACCAGTGTATATACAACCTGCGACATCCCAGAGAACGCCATATTCGGTCCCTGTGTTCTGAGCCATACTTCCCTGTATGACAGCATAGCCTTCATAGCCCTCAAGTCCACGGACAAGAGAACCGTACCTTATATCTTCCGGGTAAGTCTCAGCTGGTAGTGGGGTCTGAGGGTAAACATTCCTGTTGGGAATGAGCAAGGTGCCATCCTAAGGACAATGTGATAATTCAAGCAATCATAGTGAACACAGCAAAAATTAGAAAAGAAGAACTAGACTCCAATTGTCAACCCATTTTCTGAGAAAATTTGACTAGAAATACCAAGGATGTGTAAATCGGTGCCCTGTAGATTAGGACTCCCTAATTTGCAAGGGAGGCCTCCCTAGGTCTGGTACTATTTACATGTTAAGTACTCCCTGGGAGTACTTTCACAAGTATCGAGAGTGCTTGTTTACTAGCCTGGAAGTATCCTCGCCTCCTGAAGAGCTAGTGTTCAGAGTATGTATTTAAATAAAAATAGTATTTGTTTTGTCAATCAAGCATTATAATCCACATTTGTGTTTGTAACAGGCCTCACATTTGCTAGGCTTTCTTTTTAAGGAAAATTTGTTAGTCCTTCAAGCCATGGTTGGGAAGATGGGCATGAGTGCCATAGAATAATTTCCAAGATCCAAACTTGCCTCTTTTGAAACACAAGAAATTCCCTCTTCTACTTCTGCGATAATGGAAAAGGAAATTCTGAATAGGCTAATCTATACAACTGACTTAGTGTCTGTAAGGACGGTTATCCTGCCCGTTGACTACAAATATAGGGACGTGGTCCGACTCAGGTCACGTTTTGAAAACTTAGTTTAGGATGTTGGAAAAACAAAAACCAAAAGAGAAGGAAAAGCCCTTGTTTCTCTGGTTTCTGTCTTTCACGCGGACGTCCCTTCTTGTGTTTCTTCAACTCTCCAGGTAGACACTTCGGCGGCCAACGGTTCCTCAGAAGGTCTCATGTGGCTGCGGCTGGTCCAATCAGCCAGAGATAAAGAAGAGCAGAATCTCGAAGCTTATATAAAAAACGGACAGCTGTTCTACCGCTCTCTCCGCAGGATTGCCAAAGACGAGGAGTTACTCGTTTGGTACGGGAAAGAACTGACAGAGTTACTCTTGCTCTACCCCTGTAGATCCCACAAAATGAACGGTAGGTTGACTCGCGACCTGCGTGTAGGGAGGGAGAAGGGCGGGGAGCAGTAGGGACTAACTCAGGAGCCTGGGAGCACCTTGCTACCTCTGGGCATCTCACAGGATAGCGGGAGCTTCTGAGATGTCTGTCCAGAACGGAGCTGGGACGGAAAGGGAACGGAAAGTTGGGGTGTATCTGACTTGATAAATGTACTTCAGCAAGCCAAGAAGGAAAGTTGCACCAAGTAGGACAGGATAGTAGTATATTCTTTTCTTGGGCATTCAGCCCAGAGAGATAAACTGGATTTGTTATGGGGATGATGGCTAAGTGGCCTGAGGGTAAAGCTGACTAACATGTGGTGTGTGTGTGTGTGTGTGTGTGTGTGTGTGTGTGTGTGTGTGTTTGCTCGCTAAGCAGGGTCGTCCCCTTACACATGCCTGGAGTGCAGCCAGCGTTTCCAGTTTGAGTTCCCCTATGTGGCACATCTGCGATTCCGCTGTCCCAAGAGACTTCACAGCGCTGAGGCGAATCCCCAAGACCAACAAGGCAGTGGCGTGAGCACCAAGGACCAAGGCTGCGGCGGTGGCAAAGAGCAGCAGCAGCAGCAGCAACAGCAACAGCAGCAGCAACAGCAACAGGAGGCGCCCTTGGTCCCGGGCCCCAAGTTCTGCAAAGCGGGCCCCATACACCACTACCCGGCGCCGTCCCCGGAGGCTAGCAACCCACCGGCCGCCGCAGGTGCGGGCAGCGCTAAGCCATCCACGGACTTCCACAACCTGGCTCGGGAACTGGAGAATTCCCGGGGAGGCAGCAGCTGTTCGGCGGCCCCGAGCCTTGGCGGTAGCCGCACCGGCCACCAGGAGGCGGAGCTGAGTCCCGACGGTGTCGCCGCGGGCGGCTGCAAAGGGAAAAGGAGGTTCCCGGAGGAGGCGGTGGCCGAGGGCGGTGGCGCGGGGCTGGCGGGTGGCCGTGCGCGCTTCTCCGAGCGGCCGCTGGCGGCCTCCAAGGAGGAGCTGGTGTGCACGCCGCAGCAGTACCGCGCCGCGGGCAGTTACTTCGGCCTGGAGGACAACGGCCGACTCTTTGCGCCTCCCAGCCCCGAGACCGGCGAGGCGAAGCGCAGCGCCTTCGTGGAGGTGAAGAAGGCGGGTCGCGCGGCGGGCTTGCAGGAGGAGGCTGCGGCGGACGGCGCGGGAGGCACCACCGAGGAGCCCGACGCGGGAGGCGGCGGCAGTGGCGGTGGCGGTGGCTCCTCCACTCCCGCGGCCGCCTCGCCGGGGGTCGCCGAAAAGCTGCTAGCCCCGCGGCCGGGAGGTGCGCTGCCCGGGCGGCTGGAGGGCGGGAGCCCAGTGCGCGGTAGCGCCTTCACCTCGGTGTCGCAGCTGGGCGGCGGTGGCGGCTCAGGGACCCCGGGGACCGCCGGGGGCGCCGGGGGCGGTCAGGCGGCTGCATCGGACGAACGCAAGAGCGCCTTCTCGCAGCCGGCGCGCTCCTTCTCGCAGCTGTCCCCGCTGGTCCTGGGCCAGAAGCTGGGCGCACTGGAGCCGTGCCACCCGGGCGATGGCGTGGGCCCCACCAGACTCTACCCGGCCGCCGCCGATCCGCTGGCCGTGAAGCTGCAGGGGGCCGCGGACCTGAACGGAGCCTGCGGGCCCCTGGCGAGCGGCGGCGGCGGCGGCTTGCCCAAGCAGAGTCCCTTCCTCTACGCCACCGCCTTCTGGCCCAAGAGCTCGGCCGCGGCGGCCGCGGCGGCGGCGGCAGCCGCGGGGCCCCTGCAACTGCAGCTGCCCTCGGCGCTCACGCTGCTACCGCCCTCCTTCACCTCGCTGTGTTTGCCCGCGCAGAACTGGTGCGCCAAGTGCAACGCCTCCTTCCGCATGACCTCCGACCTGGTGTACCACATGCGGTCTCATCACAAAAAGGAGTATGCCATGGAGCCCCTGGTGAAGCGTCGGCGGGAGGAGAAACTCAAGTGCCCCATTTGCAACGAGTCCTTCAGGGAGCGTCACCACCTCTCCAGGCACATGACCTCGCATAATTGATGCGGAAAGGACCCTGGCTTTCCACGCGTGTGCACGCATAGTCAAGCCACCTGAAGGAGCAGACGCGCGAGGACATCCACCACTTCCTTATGCCCCCAAAACACTGCAACCAAACACGTACACACACAGGTCCCTCCCCTGGCCAGAAGTCTCATTATTCAAATGTTTAACGTGGGAGACACACACACACACACACACACACACACACACACACACACTCGAAAGGATGGTGGATTTTGGATTGGGTGGGTTGTTTGCGGGGGTTTTCTTTTGAATGCACGGATTTTCACTTTCCAAAAAAAAGGTACATTTAAAAAAATGTCATATATTGCAACATATTGATGCATTTGTCATACGTTTCTACTTAAATTATTAAGCACTTATGGTTTAGATATAATTATATGTAAGGACAAAATTTATTTTAGATATAAAGTAATGGAGGAAGGTGAGATGCGTTCTGCATTTCCTGATGAAAGCTGTGTTCTTACAAAAATAAACAAAATGAATAAAAACGGGGGTCACCATTCAGTTTACGTTTCCAGGGGGAAGTGCATGTATCAAGAAATGATTATGGACTTCAATGAAGAATGTCATCAATTATGTAAATATGTATTTCCTTTTAATACAAAGTGTAATTTTGTGCCAGTGAAATGGAGTCTGAATAGTTATGTGTTTCCTTTATCCCTAAGAGATTTATTAAACTTTATAGTTTATCAAGGTATGTTGGATGCTTTGACAATAAATAACTATTTTCTTCAAAGCAAATATTTGGAAAGCTTTTAAAATTTTTTGTAGGTCAATATACTTTTGGGTAGTTACTGTATCTTCATTGATTGCTTGAAAAGAAAGGAAGCCTGTGTCTTCCACATTTATTTATTATAAGCAAGAGTCTAAAACAAGAGTGTTGATTGTTACTTGAATATTCTTTAGTTGAAAAGTGTTAGGGTGAGTGATCAAGCACAAATCACTTAGACAGTACTTGTTATACAGCTAAGCTATCATGATATTGTTAGCTCCCTTCCAGAAGGAAGATAATTAATCTCCACACATGTGACCAATTTTTTGGACAGCATCTGGAAGAACAGATTAAAAAAAAACACACCACTTTAGAATCTAGTAGTGATGCTTCTTCCACCACGGGATGTCCTACATTCTAGAAGTTTCAGCTTTCTGCCATCCATTAGGGACTCCATAGAGAATTTGTCGAGTAATCAGGGTTTAAAGATCAGGGTTTGGTGATAGTCAGTGTATTAAGAGGCCTGGTTTCCACACCTGTTCTACTGGGAGTGATCTTGAGACTGAAATACTGAAGAACCTAGTGGTTCTTTATAAAAACCTCTCTGTCATCTTCAGGTACTGCCAACAATTCTTAGAGACCGTCTATGTCTATGTCTGTGATGAGCACTGTAGGTGGCTTCTAGACTGAACACTAGGTGGCCAGTGAGCCTTCTTGGGCAGCATATTGACACCCCAGGGGCCCAAGGACAGACTTATTTCTCCAGAGGTTGAGCGTCGCCCCCCCAACATTTTCACATTCTGTTGATTTTCCCCTTATGTCTAAAGGATATATGTGGATAGACTCCTAATGGGAACTTCACACAAGGTCTCTCTTGAAAGAAAGACTTTCCAATAATTTTCCCTAAAGGGTTTTGAAGCCTTCATGTTTTAAGACCACCAGACAGCAAGTTGCATTAGAGTAGGGATCCTATAAAGAGTAGGTATAGTCGGGCTAGTAAATTCAGGGAGAGTAACCAAGTTTGATAAAAAAGCTGATTGGCTTCCTTGGATTCATTCAAATCCTATTTTGCTAAGACATTTCTTTGAGGCCTGCTTTCAACTTTCCCACACAGCAGTTTGATGTTACAGTCAGCCTGCTCAAGACATAGGGAAAAAGAATGGTTCAAAATTTACCAATTCTGTCTCTGCTAATTTTGGCTGGTGTTACCCTGTATCACTATTCACATCATTTGGTATACCTGATGTGAACATATATCATTTGACAAGCAGTGACGCATGTTCTGGTGTCTTTAAATTACTTGTACCACTCAAGATGGGTTTTGTGTTTTGTTTCCCAGGGAACCAAACAATTGAATGTAAAGAGAGATTTCTAGAAAAAAAGCCAAGATCAGCTGTGCAGAAAATGGAATATCAAGAACAGAGGATGCTATTTAGGTGTGAGTAGAACATGGTCCTTAGGAGACACTTGCAGCATTTGACAGATTAAACTATCTGTGTCACTGGAACAAAAATCCACTGAAAACCAGCACATGCAGGACACCTTGGCAACCAAATTTAAGAGGAAAAAGAAATACTTGTATTATTTTTCTTATTCCATCCAATCCTTCTGGATCCTCCCCCCCTCCACCACCACTTTAACCTAAACAGCTTTGTTATGGGTGGAGATTCAGAATGAGTTGTCTGGAAAAGTTCAGCAAACACTGCTCCTAGAAAGGGGCTCGGAAGGACACAGGCAAACCTGATAGTCCCTTCCTTATTCTCTTTGGCTTGGTCATTGTCTCACACATACTATCAAACAGAGCTGCCCAGTGACTGAGCTTTGCCTGTGCGCTTCGGGTAGGCAGACACTTTAGTTGTGGGGTTGGCCGTGCTGAGCCAGGTCTGTGTACAGGCCGTTTTTGGCAGGAGGTATTAAAGGAAGGATCCCCAAAGCTAGTTTTACCCTCATCCAAGGCAATGCTTTCTTTTACCGTGGCAATGTCAGATGTGCTGCAATCTTTTTCCGCATTCAAACCCCAGAAGAGAGTTTCTAGAACTCACACTACCTCCTAGCTGAGCTCATTGGGTGAAGCTGCGTTAATGCTTCCACACAGCTGCGGAGGAAATAAGGTCACAGGGCCCCAAGACAAGCTGGTCCCACAAATTCCATGCCAGGTGTCCCAAGCTTCCAGGCCTCGCAGGTGGCCTGAGGTCTGAGTGCCCTGCGGGGTGCGGGGGAGGGGGAAGCAGGTCACAAAGCCAACCAGTTATGTCCCAGCATTTGTTGTGTCCCAGTCACTGGAATAATGCCTAGAAATGATCCGACATCTGGGGTCTGAGTGTCCTTCATTCGTCTCTTTCTCCAGGCGTTTGCAGGTGGAGGAGCCCATATGTTACAGGACATCTTTATGGGGGTGCAGCGGGCACCCACAGGCCTGTACAACGGGGAGGGAGCCAGAAAGGGACTTGTGTATCTGTTGGAATGTGCAGCACGGGAGAGTTAATTCCGAAACGAATCTCATCTGGGAAAGTTCCCAGCTCCTAGCAGCCTTGACGTTGCAGCTCTCAAACACCTGGAGCCCCGAGTGTGTGACAGCCTCTGTAAGGCGGTCAGGGACTAGTTGCAAACACACATGTGTGACTGTGGTCTCCTATGAAGTTCAAATTATTTGATATGTCCCGTGCAGGACCTCTTAACGATGGCTTCCATCCTGTTCACGTTCAACTTGTTCCTGGCAGCTTACTTACCTCAGTAGACGTTTTGCCAGCGAATGTGACCTCTAATAGAAAATTGTTGAACAAGCAAGTACTAGAAGTGTTCAGAAAAAGAGCAAGGAAGCGTCCTATCTGTCCCCTCCAGTCCCGCAGCTGCCTCATGTCCCTGTCCATCCATTCTACCCCACTCCTACCCACCCTCATCTTCTCTGTTCTGAGTACTGAGGGCATTGAGCAACCTACCTCACCCGGGGCCGGGTAGTGTTCAGCTTTTCCAGTGTTTCTATTTCTCAGTCTCCATAGACCAAGTTCACTCCCGCCCAACACTGCTGTAGGCGTCATGACTGGGGCCCCGCCCCGGATCTTAGCCCTGCTGAAAGGCTGGCATCTGCCTAGGAGGGGGCGGTTACTTTCCTCTCTTTCTTCCCTGGTGGCTCAAGCTCAGGTTCTGGAATTAATAGAGCTGATTCTATGATATCTCCTGCCCCCATCTCCTCCTCACTCTCCTGGCCTGTTTCCTAAACTCTGGGGATGTTTTCCTTTTCAGACTCATAAGAAAAGTCTCCCTTGGAAGCTCTGCCCTCCAGGCAAGTGGCCCAGGTACTATACTTGAAGACTATATTGCAAATTACTCAGTCTGGACATGGAAGAAAGGGACTATTCCTACAACACACACACACACACACACACACACACACACACACACACACCATCTTTCAGAGCACAGCTTCTCCCTTTCCCCGCTGTAGACAGACAGTGAAGAACTTTGCAGAATTATGTCTAGTCTACAGGATTCATGGATGATAAAACTGAAGACTACATTCTTTATAAAATGCTTCTTTTTCTATTTACTATCAGGCTGTCCAGCTTAAACTACTGTGCTGATTACTTAGGTATCCTCTTCCAAGTTGTGTATATACTAGAATGTCCATGTAAGTTGCACACACGTCCACCTATATACAAACATTTAGCATACATACAAAATCTATATATAAATTTAATACATACTCAAGCACATAACAGGTTGGAACTGTTTTAAATATTTCCCTGTATTGACTTGGTTTAATCCTCACAACCTACTGAAGAGGATAGCAACAAAGCCACCAATTCCCTCATGTCTCAGCGTGGTTAGCATAGCTGTCACTCTGGAAGAGAAAGGTGAGGTGTGAGTATTTAATTGGGCATAATATAAAGAATAGTGGATCATAAGTCAGACCTGCTCCAAAAGTGTGGCCTACCTGTTTATACTTCCTTTCCAGAAGATATGAGTAATTCGTGTATGGACTCATCCCATAATAATGTCTTAAAAATTAAATATAGCTATATATGTAGAAGTCTGCCATTCTGTTGTTTAATGGACATTGCTGTTGGTGGATGAGACAGACTTATTCTTTCCTTATTCATCTTCCTTAGCTTGTTAAGATGCTCTAGTATTGCTATGAGAAGTCTTTTGTGGCCTTAACTTTTTTTAATGGTCCTTGCTCATTTGAATCAAAGGTGAAAGTGATCACTGACTGATTCTGGAGGTGTATAATTTGGATTTCCCCTAGTGTGTCAAGCTTGCATGAGGGCCACTGGAGTGGAAGAACCTGAGACATAAAGTCAAGCCAAGTCCTGGTCCATTCATTTGTGGTTTTAGTTGTCTTAGTGGCAATGGTACTAAGTTGTAAGTATAGTGAATTTCCAGGACTTATAAATGATAAGCCATCATGAGCGTAAGGATAAAAAGGGCCATAAGAAGAATCTGAGCAATAGGGTTTCCTGTCGTAGACAGGGTGACCAGAAGGTAGAAAAGTAGATTGTTCCTCCTCCTACCTGCTGGGTGACAAACATAGCCTTGCATGGGAAGCCCTGCTGTGTTCAGTACTTGAGAAAATGTTTCCCCTTGCAGATTATAATGCCCCAGGAGCTGGTACCCATTCATCAGTAAACATCATGCAAGGGATCCTTGGCTCCTGTTTAAGCTTTTCAGTATTATCTTTTATTGCTAATATTTTCAATATTTAAAGGTGCACTTTGAGCTACAGGACTCTGCATTTATTATAAGTTACTCTACTACTTAAAAAAATGGAGACTTGAAAACACATATCATATAGTCTCTTTCCCCTGTTCTTTAGGGTACAGATTATTGGTTGAGATACTAAGATCGTTTGTAAACTGAGACAGTAGGCATACAAAATTTGTCAGAAAAAAGGTCATGAAATAAAAGTAGCTAACTCTGTCAGTTCTTTGTTTCTTCACTTGTCCCCAAAACGCTCAGACACCAACTCAAAATGCTTCCCCACCCCCACCTCCTGGATTTCAGAAGAGCAGTGCACACATCACATCACGTC